AAGATATATATATTTATCTAATTTATATTTATGACTTCAATTTGAATTGTTTTGTTAACAAATTTATCTAAAAATTTTATAAATTTTTTGCAAGTGTCCGTAAAGTGTTCAAGAAGTGTTTGAAATTAACAAAATTAAAAAAAATAGTCGGACACATTTTTTAAAGTATGGAACACGTTTTTTAAAGTTTTCGGCATATGTCCGAGAATGTTCGAAGAGTGTTGGTGTCCAACACGAATATGGCACCGGTACGCTAGACCTTTTAAGGTGTCCGTGCATCATAGATCACGGTAACACCGCAGCAACGTGCGTGGGCTTTTGCATTTATACTAGCTAATTTTGTGTAAAAAATTAGGACTTAAACTATAAAAATACCTCAAACTATGAGACTTGTTGCAAAATCATTTTAAAATGATCTTTGTACTCTGGACATCTTATTTGGAAACTTAGATATATTGGTACCGTAATTTAAAATTTAAACCATAAAATGACTAAAGTGATATTTGGTGTGAGATTCACTGACTTACCTTGAGTTAACTTAGCTCGGTGAACCAAAAACTCATCGTTTTCGTTTTACTCCCTTTCTCTTAATCTAAAAATCCCTCTCTTACAAAAGAACAATTTATCTTCTAAAATCCCTCTCTGCAACAGATGTAACTTTTTTGTCATTGCTTCATGCTTGTAGCTAGGCATGGCCACGGTTCCGGAACCGGCGGTTCCGGTTCCAGAAAAGCTGGAACCGGAAAAGCTGAACCGGAACCGAACCGAAATTGGCCGGTTTCGGTTCGGTTTGGAACGCGTCCGGAATTTAAGGTTTCGGTTCCAGAGATATCCGATCCGATTACAACACCGACCGGTTCCGATTGGATATTTGGATACGGCATAATTTGAAATTTTTAAATTTTTATACCTTTAAAAAATATATATTAACATAAAAAATTTAAAATTACTGTTAAAAAATTTATAATATCAAAGACAACTAAAAAATTATTTGAACATAAAAATTTAAAAATACACCATAAGAAATTTCAAATTTAAAGACCGGTTTAAAAAAAAATTGAATGATTTATATTTATTTTTTTAAGTTTGAAATAATGAATATTTTTTAAAAAAAAATTGAAATTGATTTTTTTTTTTTTTTAAAGTTTGAACATAATGATTTTTTTTTTAAAAAAATTTGGAACTGAATTTTTTTTTTTAAGTTTGAACATATTTGAAAAAAAAAAAATGGGCTTTGAACTTAATTTTTTTTAAAAAAAAATTTTTTTTTTTAAGTTTGAACATAATTTAAAAAAAAAAATTGGGCTTGAACTTAATTTTTTTTTGTTTAAAAAAAAAATTAAGTTGCCTACGTATCGCTATTTGCACCACCGGTTGATGTTCCCGTTGAGGACCCATCGTATAAATCAAATAAATCTTCATTTTTCTTTTGGATTTTCTTGGGCTCTTAGTTCGGCTTTGGTCCAATCATCCACACACACTTGTGCTTCTAATGAATCGGGTGTCATACGAGATCGTGTTTCATCAAATATGTTACCTCCTTGACTAAAAGCTTGTTCAACCGCAACAGTGCAACAGTGGAGACGCGGAAACTGCTCAAAATTTGGTTTTGCAAAGTAAGAAAGAATTGGAAAAGTATTTGCGTGACGACTCCACCATCTAAAATTGGAAATCTGCATCTTGCATAATCATCACCAAACTCAAAAAGAAGTGTTAGATAATTATCAATTCTGAAATAGAATTGGATTCCTTGGTTCTTTTTTGTCTTTGCAATAAAACTTGTTGGGCAACACAACACCACTTACCCTTTGTGTTTGAAAATGTTTGGAATTTAGATTGGAAGAAGTAGATGAACTAGAAACTTGAACAAATTCATTATATAATTGCATAATATTTTGTTTAACTTCATGCATTACTACATTTATATTAACATTATCTTCTACTACATTTATATTAACATTATCTTCTACATCAAGATTCAATACTTCATAATAAATAGTCAAATAATCACATAAAACATCCATTCTACATCTAGGATCAAATATAATAGCAACAAGATAAAGGGGTGCTATATTTTTAAAATAAGATAACCATTTTTTTTTCATTGAAAAAATACAATCTTTTAATAAATCATCATTTTGAAATTCTTGGAGTGCATTAACAATATTAATACACAGGTAAAAATAAATGAGATGTGGGATAATAAACCCCACTAAATTTATAGGTAGCATCATTAAAAATTTTTAAAATATCTAAAATTTTTGTACAAACCACAAACTCCGCAATTTTGTGGATAGTAAATTAATATCCTCAATATTATTAGTAACATATAATTCCTTTAATAAGAAAAAGACTCGGTTTAGTAAATTCATATGTTATTCCAAGAGTTGGGACATCCCTTTTGGGAAACGTTTTGGTCTTTTTATTTTTTACCAAAATTTAGCCCAACTTTTCATTACTTGGGGATGTGTCCATAAATATGAATAGCTTTTTTTAATTGGAGAAATAAAAACATCAAGAATTTTTAAACCATGCAATTTGTACACATAAATTTAAAACATGGCATGCACATCTTATATGAAAAATTTACCAACCAATATTTTGTTCACAAATTCTTTTAAACGTTCAATTTAATAGATTTAGTATTTGCAAGAAAGCATTATAAATGAAAATTGAAAAAAATTTTTTTTCAAACTTATATTCCATCTAAAATTGAAACAATTTACTCTATAAATATTATTGCAGTATGTTTATCATCAAAAAACACGAAAACCAATAATTTCTTTTTGAATTTTCCAAATCCATATCAATCCATGACATGTAATACCATATAAGAATGCATTTTGCAATGATCACTCCAAACATCAACAACAAATTGAAACACGAATTTTCAATTGAGGAAAATAAAGCTCTAATTCCTTTTTTTCCTTTATTATGCAAGAAATAATAGTTTCGTTTTACTGTAATTTCCTTGGTACTCCTTTTAGACAAGGATTTAAAGCTTTTTGACAATATTATTAAAACCTACCTTTTTTCACCAAAACTAAAAGATAAATGTTTGTTCCATAGAAATCATAATCATTTTTGCTAATTCTTCTTTTTATATTTTTTCAGAATATTTAAATAAAGAAAGGTTAGAAGCGTACCCGGAAATTTGTTGTTGAGACCGATCAACTACTATTTTTGTTGGATGTTTTGCCTCCAAATGCTTCCAAAATGATCCATAGCCGTCCGCTTATTTAAATTTATAAGATTTTCCACAATAATTGCATAATTGCAAATTATATCGTACATTTTCTCACCTTTGAATTTTTTTGTGAAATGAATGGAGAATATGTCGGAACTTTATCTTGCTCTTGTAACAATTTTTGCTCGTAGCTCTTGCTCTTGCTCTTCATCTTCTTAAAATTGCTCATTAAATTCGGATTCTTGAGTTGGAATATCCAAATTTTCATTTGGAAAACCCTCAAAATTACATTGGTCGGGAATCATATCATAGATGTCGTTTGTAGAAACCTACTTTTTCACCAAAACTAAAAGATAAATGTTCCATAGAAATCATTTTTGCTAATTCTTCTTTTTGTATTTTTTCAGAATATATAAATAAAGAAGGTTAGAAGCGTACCCGAAAATTTGCATGGTAAGAATATAGAGTAGAGTAGAGAAGAATAAATGATTAATATAGAGTAGAGTGTAGTATATGGTAGAGAGAGTAAGTAGAGAGTGTAGTATATTGTAGAGAGAGTTGAGATGTTTTTGTAATGAATTTGTAAATAAAATGAGGTATTTATAATAAATCCAAAAATTCATTTTTCTAAAAATACCCTTGAAACTAGCCGTTATGTAGCCGCTAGCCCGTTATGTAGCCGTTTATGACAGTTGGGAAGGGTGTAAATTAAAGAATTTAACAACAATTTAAAAAAAAAAAAAAAAAAAACAAAAAATCTGACCAGTTACAATGGCTAAGAACCGCCGGTTCGAAGCCGGCGGTTTCTAACCGGCCGGAGAACCGGCGGTTCATTCCACGGTTCCGACCGTTTTCTATGGAACCGCCGGTTCTGTTCCACTTTGCTAGGAATATCCGGAACCGAACGAATTTTCCGTTCCGGTTCCGGTTCGTCCCGGTTCCGGTTCCTCACCGGTTCAGGTTGCGGGTGTCCGGGCCGGTTTCGAAACCGAAACGGGGTTCCGGTTCTCACCGGTTCCGGTTGCGGTTCCGGGCCGGTTCGAACCGACGGTTCCGGTTCCCGGAACCGCAATATGGCCATGCCTACTTGTAGCCATCTAGGCTTAGTTGACAAGAGCATTAGATTCTTTAAATATATGACAGAAGTTCACAGAATTAGTCCACGAATAGAACACTATGCATGTGTTGTTGACATATTTGACCGGGCAGAGCTTCTCAATGAAAAGCCAAGACTTTCATCGAGAGATTACCCATGAAGCATGGTTTGCTTATTTAGCACGCCTTGCTTGGTGCTTATAGGATCCATGGAGATGCTGGAATAGGGAAAGGTTTGTGATTGCAAGGAAAAGTATTCCAATAATGATGATGATGTTGTGATTTTGGAACCCAGCATTGGTAGGAGAATATTTAATCCGAGAAAAATGAGAACCACTATCAAGAATGCTGAACTGGGTGATCCAAATTGCAAAATGTCTTCAGTTAGAGGAGGAATTTTAGAAGATGAATTGTTCCTTTGCAAGAGAAAGATTATTGGATTAAAGGAAAGGATAGCAAAATGATGAGTTTTTGGTTCATCCAGGTAAGCTGATTCAAGGTAAATTAGTGGGTGTCATACTAAATATCACTTTAAGTCTTTTTATGAATTTTAAACTAAATATCAATATATCTACGTGTCCAAACGATAATATCCGGAGCACAAGGCTGATTTTAAAGTTATTTTGTAACGAGTCCTTTTTGTACTTTTAGGCCAAAAAAACACTAGTACGTTATGCAAATACGCTGTTTTCTTTTTCCTGTTTGTTACACAACTGCTGTTTTTCCTTCGTTCTTTTCACCTTTATTTTCTTTCAACAAACTTAAAAAAAAAAACTAAAGCCTGAGGCCAGTAATAGAGAAGGCTTTGCTTCCATCTCCTTCTTTCTCTAAGTCTCCACTCTAATAGATACCAAGAAAGAACAATGCGAACTGCAAATTTGTCTCAGATCTTGTGTTTCTAAACGAATCAGATACAAATATTATTTCCATTCAAGAAGAAGAAGAAGAAAAGAAAGATGTTGAGATTGAAAGCTTTTAAGCCGAGCAGTGAGAAAATAGTAAAGATACAGTTACATCCAACGCATCCATGGCTTGTCACTGCCGATGCCTCCGATCGCGTCTCTGTTTGGAATTGGGAACACCGTCAGGTCTCTTTCAACTTTGTTTTTTGCTTTTATTTGAAATTGCAAGTGTGATTTTATTTTTGAATTGATAATTATGATTTTTTTTTTTTGAAAGGTAATATATGAGCTAAAAGCTGGTGGCGTTGATGAGAGACGTTTGGTTGGAGCTAAGTTGGAGAAGCTAGCCGAGGGCGAATTAGGTTCTGTTCTATTTTTACCCTATTTGTTTGAATTTTGATTGATATTTTGAAATGCCGAGAAATGTTGATATTGAAATGTTTTATTTTATTTTTTTGTTGTTGCTTAATTTTGCATTTTTGCAGACTCTAAAGGGAAACCCACAGAAGCCATGAGAGGAGGCAGGTAATTTTTTTTTTATTTTTTTCATTTCTAGATAAGGTTTTCCATTTGTTGATATGTTTTTCCTTTCTTTTTTGGATACGAAGTGTTAAACAGGTGAACTTCTATGATGATGATGTACGGTTTTGGCAACTTTGGCGCAACCGCTCGGCAGCTGCTGAAGCTCCGGGTGCTGTCAATAATGTTAGTTCAACATTCACTTCTCCTGCTCCATCAACTAAAGGGAGGCACTTTCTTGTAATTTGCTGTGAAAATAAAGCCATTTTCTTGGATTTGGTTACAATGCGTGGTCGTGATGTGCTTAAGCAAGAGCTGGATAATAAGTCGCTCTTATGGCAAGTACTAATATGAGAAGTCCCTTTTTCTTTTGTGAAGCACTCACATACTCACAAATTCATAGGCACAAGATCCTCTTAATTTTCATTTTACTAAATATTAGCTCAGTTTGGCATATGGCTGTCAGTGTTGGGCGGCGAATAACAATATGTCAACAAAAGTTTCTATGGAGAAAAATGAGAATGCTGGAGATGGATGAGTGAAAACACTAGAAATGATTAAATATATACAAGTTAAGTGCATTTTTGGAAAGCTGAATTTTGTACCTATTGAAAATAAGTTGAGATACAGAGATTGGGATCATGAGATAGTTTGATCATGTTTAGTTTAAATTGAAAAATGTGTTAGTAAGAAAAAATTCTCTTGTCTAGGTCATAAAACTGGAGGAGGAAAAAGATCAACTTAGATGATATGGGGAAGGTTATGGAAACGGATTTAGCTTCAGTTATTGACCTGTATATAATGTGTATCTTTGAATTGAGTGGAATGGAGGGAAAATGATCTGAATAATTGATTTTAACCAAACTGGGATCAAGGTTCAGTTGAAATGAGTTGTGAAAATCTAGTTTGTTTTAGAGATGTGTATTGGTATAATTTGGAAAAGGATCAAATTTATCGAGCTGCTTTAGAGTTCCAAAAACAAGAAGTTGACATTCTTTTCTCTGTCAAAACTTCTCTAGTTTGATGCTCGTTGTTTTCATATTTTTCTTTACCATTTTAATTTTCTATTCTTATGTTTTAATTATAAATTTGAACTATATCCTTAGTGCAATGACCCAAAGCTTTTCCCCTTTTACTCCCTGCATATTTTTTTCTTAGTTATCTTATGAGAGATCTTTTATATAGCAAATGCTGCAAGAGTGATATTTAACAGTAGCCAGCTGCCTAATATTCTGGTTCTTCTATAGGATTTATAGTCTTTCCTTCCTTTTTCCCCCTTTTGTTTCCCATAATAATTTTTTCCCACTCATGAATACATTGTATTGAGATGGTGTTGCTATTTTCCTGTACTCTTATAATCTATTATGTTTATAGTGTTATTTGGTGGTTTGTGTTTTTGTTTCCTGCAGTATGGAGTTTCTCTCCAGATCTACTGCTGGGGAGGGCCCTTTAGTTGCATTTGGTGGATCGGATGGTGTCATTAGAGTTCTTTCAATGATAACATGGAGGGTTTGTGTTTTGTCAAGAAGTTGTTCTGTCATCTTATGATCACAATATAGGGTTACCAATGTTGATTTGTTATACTTATTTCTTGCAGCTTGTACGTAGGTATACTGGAGGTCACAAAGGATCTATTTCTTGTTTGATGACTTTCATGGCATCCTCTGGAGAGGTAGTCGTCGGATCCCATTATTCTTCTGATGCCTAGTAAATTCCTTTCAGTTAGCATTTGGCGTAATACATTATACTCAATAATCTGGTTAAACGTGCAACCTATTTGAGTGGGATGCTTTACTTTATTAGTAATTAATAACATAACAGAGTAGATGGGAATAAAAATGCCAATAAGAAAGGGATGTATGCAACCCTAGGTGCACAAGATTACACTTATGTGCAGTAGATCTTGTTGATGAAGTTACCTTCATTCTTGATTTCATCTTTTCCTCTTTTCTTAGATCATTTGGGCCTTTAATGTTTTTCGTAAGTTATTCAAAAGGAAATTTGCGGAACTGGATAGATAATAAATATATAGAGCAGAGAGCAATTTATGCATATTAATATATGTTGTATGTTCTTGGGACTTAAAATGTTTCACTTGGAGGATTTGGAGAGATTCGCCGTGGATCTTTTACAGCCACAATCTTACATTTATCAACAAGGATAATCGAGTTTGTGATGTTAACTTTTGCTTATATAGACTGAGGAATATGAATGGGATCAGTTCAGTAGTACAACACTGAAAGAGGATTCTCAAGATTGTAAGGTGGTTTGCAGATGGTAAGATGGTAATACCTGTCTAGGTTTTGGTTTCTAAAGGAGGCATGGTTTACTGACCACAAGAAGGATATGGCTTTGGATGGAATCTAGCAAGGGGATCGATATTTTGAGAAGTCATTTAGTTGCTGACTTGCTGTCTTGTGAAGTTGGCAGTACCATTAGCAAATTTTCAAGCTTTTTTAGTGGACTCTGCAGTTTGCCTTGCTGTGGACATGTTACTACATAGGTATGAGGATGAGTAATGCAATGGACATAGAAAGTAAAAATCAGATAAGATAGAGAAAAGTTTGCTTGTGATAATAAGATGTCTGTTTTTGTGCGAGACTGTTCTTATGACAAGTGAGATAGTTTATGTCTGAGAGAGGGAGAAAAGCAAGAGGATAAAAGATTTAGAGAGATTTATAGATGGAAGGAGATCCCATTGTGCCACTACAGTCCACTCATTTAGGGAGAAAGAAAGACAGACATAGAGGTGTCAGTGTCTTTCAGCCAGTTTCATGGACAATATTTTTGGAATTCTAAGTTTGAGAAATTTTTAAAATGACAATGTCTCTTCTCATAATGTGTTCTTTAGATTTTGGATAAAATTTATTTATGTCCTTTAGATCGATAAATAATAGCAACTCAAGAAAAAGAATTATCATTGGGTTATAAGTCAATACATATATGTGTTTTTGTCTGTGTCTGTCACAAATATTATAATCTTTTTCTGAGAATTAGTTATCATATTCAAACAATAAATCATGTCAATCTAGTTGAAAGCTTTAAGAAGACTATGAATTTGAAACATAAAAAGATAAGACACCTTATAAGGAGTGTTAGATTAAACGTAGCACAAAATCTGAATTAATATTTGAAGTTTTCATATTATACAAAATCAAACTAACAATGAGATCAAAACTAAAACGTTGGATGAGAAACTAGAGATCGAGACTCGAGGGACATTTGTGAGAAAATTAGTGCAATCTATGTAATTTTTTTTTTCATAAGTTCATGTATCAATCCTTATTTTACTATTATGACAAAGTTAAGGGCATTTTTGGAATTTGAAAAGTTTAATAATAAATGATTATCATTTTGATCTGAATTATCTTGATCATATAAATTTTTTATAGGGGCATGTAATTGTCAAAATGATTTTTCTTAATTTATGACTAAATCATAGGGACCTAAAAGCAATGTCCTTAATATTTTGTGAAACTTAGTTTATCTGTAAATCAGTAACAATGGAGGATCCCCATAATTAAACCAACTTCAGATGTGAGTATAAGTGTCCTAATATTTGTATTTTGGTTGATTGGATGTTTGGAATGCATCTGTGTGCACGTCTGCACTTGGAATATGTAGCATGGAGATTGAGGATTTGGATGCTAATTGGTTGCTAGATGACTATGACTTGGGGCTTTGATGTGATGGATTTTGGATTGTCATATTGACATCACTGGCATAGTGGTGAGAGAAATTAAAATGGAGGAGGAATGGAGAGAGTGATCTCAAGGGATCACAAAAGAAAATCCTTAGATATCACATTACATTAGTTGTTCCATAGGCATAGGATTACTGCTGCAATTTCTCTAATATTTGTTCAGTAAAGTTGAATGCATTGAAGTTATTCAAGCTATTCACAGACTCTGGCAATCCTAGTTGTTTAAAATTTCCACCAACTTTATCATGTGATGTGTCATTTCATCTTTTCTTTTTTCTTTCTGGCATTCACAAAATAATTTTCTATATCATGCTTCATCAGAAGTTTGGCCCTCAAGAGTGATGCCTATTGTTTCTAATTTGTTTTCCATTGTTTCTGTGATTGTAGTACTTGTCTGCATGCGTTGCACTCTTTTCTTGGTATCATAATTCTATATATTTTAGGAAGACATGCACCATCTTAGGGTTCTGCTTGCTTGTTCATGCAGTCGTGCTTGTGTATCACTTTATGCCTAACTAACTCCTTTGTCACCTTTTTTATGCTTAAATTCAGGCACTTCTTGTCTCAGGTGGTAGCGATGGTTTACTTGTTCTTTGGAGTGCAGACCATGGTCAAGATTCCCGAGAACTTGTACCTAAGCTAAGTTTAAAGGTGGATTTCTTTAATTTTTCTCTCTTTGGAGTGCAGACCATGGTCAAGATTCCCGAGAACTTGTACCTAAGCTAAGTTTAAAGGTGGATTTCTTTAATTTTTCTCATACTCCTCCTTCAATATCTAATAGCTAATGAAGAATGGTTATACATACATATTTATCTCGAAGCTTGTGAACACATTCACTGCACTGATCACAAGAGATGAGATTTTCAAGATAATAGCTTTTCTGAAAAAAGAAATGCATTTCCTGTTAAACTACCCATTTTGTGTGGTAAAAAGTAGAGTGACTTGGTAAAATGGGGCCTTTTAACTTTCTCTCAGCATTTTAAAGGTGAGTTGGTATAGATTTTAACTGCAAAATTCTTTGCCAAGTGCACGTCTCTTATGCATTCTGCTTATCTGATTTTAAAATTGAGTTGTATTTTTGATATTTTTATTTACTACACTTACAGGCACATGATGGTGGAGTCGTGGCTGTTGAGCTTTCCAGAGTGATAGGAGGTGCTCCACAACTTATTACCATTGGCGCAGATAAAACATTAGCTATATGGGATACAATTTCTTTCAAGGTGTTGAGCTTTGTGAACAAAATACTTGGTTCATGTTTAAGGGCTGTTGAGCTTTCCAGAGTGATAGGAGGTGCTCCACAACTTATTACCATTGGCGCAGATAAAACATTAGCTATATGGGATACAATTTCTTTCAAGGTGTTGAGCTTTGTGAACAAAATACTTGGTTCATGTTTAAGGCTGTGAATTTTTTTCCTTCTTCTTATGTCCTACTATTTCACCTTTCTAATTTTGTGTTTGCATGTGTTGATGAGCACAGGAGTTACGGCGAATTAAGCCTGTTCCAAAACTGGCTTGCCACAGTGTGGCATCTTGGTGCCATCCTCGAGCTCCAAACCTCGATATATTAACTTGTGTTAAGGATTCACATATATGGTATACTTTTGCCTCTTACTAGTAAATTTCTACGTTTCTTTATAAGTCTGGCCTCCAGGTATAATGATAACAGGATTTATATGGTGGATGCTGAATGGTAAATTTGTTAAACATTTTGCAGGGCTATTGAACACCCCACATATTCAGCCCTTACGAGGCCATTGTGTGAGCTTTCTTCACTCATCCCTCCTCAAGTTCTAGCACCAAACAAGAAACTTAGGGTATGTATTGTTTTGTTTGAAAAGATGCAATTTAGTTATTTGATTTCAGTTTTAATATTACAAGAAGCCTCCTAGTCATTTTGATTAGTGGTCGAACTTGGAGAGATAGGAGGGGCATTGATAAGTTGTCCTAGAAGTAGCTTTATTTTGGATTTAGTTCCCTTTATTTTCTTTTCTTTATTGATTTCCCTTGTTATTTCTGAAGGGATTTTTTTTCTTGACCAATTATAAATTCAGCACACATCAACAATGTCTTAATCAGCTTTTTTGTGTAAAAACTTTTATTATTGTTTGACTGATGTTGTCACTCATCTGATGGTAAACCTGTATATCCACATGCCTGGAGGTGTTGGTTCATACTAGTCTATAGGTTGATATATGCTCTTGCCTCCAAATACAATGTTTTTCAACATATTGTACTTATTAAACCAATTATAGTCCAAAGTAACTTTTAGTCTCTTAAAAATCAATATCTACCTAGGCTTGCCACGGGTAAAATTACAGGACTTTTGCATGTCCCTTTGTAATGATGACTAACAATGCTTTGATATTATGCTAAGATTTGGCTTCTAACATTCTTAATATGCCCCTTTAATTGTTACGAATTATTTTCACTCTTGCTCTATTTATGTAGAAATGATTGAAAAAAGGGAGAAATGGATAACATTCATGTGTTACCAATGCAGGTTTATTGTATGGTTGCACATCCTTTACAGCCTCACCTTGTTGCTACTGGAACCAATATTGGTGTTATTGTTAGTGAGTTTGATGCCAGATCTCTTCCTGCGGTAGCTCCCCTACCAACACCACCAGGAAATAGGGAGCATTCTGCTGTCTATGTAGTTGAAAGGGAGTTGAAGTTACTGAACTTTCAATTGTCCAACACAGTAAACCCATCTCTTGGAAGCAATGGCTCCTTATCTGAAACAGGAAAGTACAGGGGAGAATCAGCTGAACCATTACATGTCAAGCAGATCAGGCAGCATATTAGTACACCTGTTCCACATGATTCATATTCAGTTCTTTCTGTTAGCAGTTCAGGGAAGTAAGTTTCCTTTTCCTTTTTGACATGGAAATACAGTTGTACAAAGTTTATTTTTACTTCTTCTTTGTCATTATGAGGCAAATAAACCATCATTTTAACTCAATTAGCAACAGCTATGAAAGTGGACTTACTTGTCATTGAGATTCATAATCAAATTTTTGCTGTTGATGTTTTAGAGACAGATGAATATGCATCTATTTATATGTTTTTTCTCTTTGTTTGAGACTATAAAGTGCATAATTTCTGTTTTTATGGAAATGATTGGCAGCTGTGAAAGTGGATCTACTTATACTGCCTTTCTGCATGTCATGATTTCTCATGTTGATATTTTGATCTGGGTTATATTTGTATTATTTTTATTCTTTCAGTAGTTTATCGTTTCGTTTTCTGGAGTTGGATATCATTTTAATAGTGGAATTTCTTTCTACTGGATGTCGTTTTGGCAGTGGAATTTCTTTCCATTGGATATCATTTTGGCACTGGAATTTCTTTCTAACCACAGTTTGATTGCAGATACCTTGCAATTGTGTGGCCCGATATTCCTTACTTCTCCATATACAAGGTCAGTGATTGGTCCATTGTAGATTCAGGCAGTGCAAGGCTTTTGGCTTGGGATACATGTCGTGATAGATTTGCTATACTGGAATCTGCATTAGCTCCTAGAATTCCTGTGATTCCCAAGGGGGTTTCATCAAGGAGAGCAAGAGAAGCAGCCGCAGCTGCAGCACAAGCTGCAGCAGCTGCTGCAAGTGCTGCTTCTGCTGCCAGTGTGCAAGTGCGTATTTTGCTCGATGATGGTACATCAAATATCCTGATGAGGTCCATAGGAAGTCGTTCTGAACCGGTACTTGACATTTCTCTCAGCATAAGGCGTTCTAGTTCCATTGGATATAAGTTTATACTTTGTGAAATTGGTCCCTGGAATTATATGCATTAGAATTTCAAGATCCTTTGTTTTTATTCTGACATTTTGTTTCTCTGTTGTTATCTGCTGAACTACATCACATAAAGAGCTTTCCCTATTATTTTCTGTAATTCTAAAAATTGTGTAAATGGAATTAAGTCATTTTAGGGGGTTCATAATAATATTTCTTTTCCTCTTAAATTGTTTCTTTGTCATTTTTGTTGGTTTACTGAACAAGTCACCAGTGAACTCATTGCCAGATGAGGATCATAACCTTACCTTTCCGTTTTCTCAAAATATCATTTAAAGTTTAAGACTGAACATTGCTGTGAAGCTACAGTTCTATGCCTCTTTTACAGTTGTATAGATTTCACTCTGATTATTACATTATACTGGAAAGTTTGAAAATTCTTCACTATTAAACAGTGTTTAACTTCTTTTGTAATTTATATTGTATATATTGTGGCTTTTGACATGCTCCATTGTAATTTGAGGCAAATATTTTGTTCACCATTGTTCTTGCATAAAGTAAGTGTCCTCTGACTGTATATAATCTCTTCTAGGTAATTGGCTTGCATGGAGGGGCACTACTAGGTGTGGCCTATAGAACTTCCCGGAGGATTAGCCCTGTTGCAGCAACAGCTATTTCTACTATTCAATCTATGCCTTTGTCAGGATTTGGAAGTAGTGGCGTGTCTTCATTTAGTACTTTTGAAGATGGATTTTCTCCTCAGAGATCTCCTGCAGAGGCAGCCCCTCAAAACTTTCAGTTGTATAGGTGAGAATCATGGTTATTTTTATTTATCTTTTCAATTATTGGTAAATCTTTGCTTCCTGGGACACAAATATTAGTCAATATTTTGATGGTGTTTGCCTATAAATTTTCCTAGATGTCCTGAACTTTTGCATCATCATGTCATTTCGATGGACATGAATATAGCCCAAGAGTATAACATAACTAAGTGTCTCAGCAATTTTTCCACTTTACTTTTGGGAAATATAATGTGAAAAGGTCAAGAATATTGTTTCCAATGGTTGCATTGGCAATAAAATTGAAAATTTTAATTTGGATGATTTCTTTTTTAATGCGTATTAACTATTTTTCTTAGAGCTACTGAATGCTTGCATTTGTTAACATTGTCTGTGAAGTGCAATAGAACTTCAGTTGTAATAGTCGTCTCATCTTTTTTCTTTTTAACTTTTGATTTTAATATCAAGACATTATAAATGGGAAAACGAAGATACCTTGACACGCTTGAGAGAAGGAAATTTTCCTCATACTATTAGACTAGAGTCAGAAGAAAATCCATTTCCATAATGTGTCTTTGATCTGATGACTGCTGCAGCAGTTTACTTGCTAATGTCACTTAGATTCTTGTTAGTTGCCAGGAATTGAGTGAAGAGTGGGAAAAGAGAGAAAAAGAAAGAGGTGGGAAGGGGTGTTGGGGGCATGAAAGAGGTACCAAAACTGAAGTTTCCTTAAAAAGGCATTAGGACTTCTTTTGTATTTACTTTTGTCATCTAACTCTGCTTTCCATCTAAACCAGACAAATTTGCTTCGAGTTAATCCTCTGCTAACATTCTTACTTGTCCAACTGATAAAAGGCTAAACAATATTGCCTTTCCAATTGACTATTGTTTAAATTATCCACACATTGCTTCATTGCAAACATGTTGGTCTCTCGGGCTTCTAACCTACATCAAATTAATTGTGTTGCACACAGAAACTGCCTGCTGCTACATGGTTGAACTTTTGTTTTTGGTTTGTACCTGATAAGAACTAAGGCCTTTTGATCCTTTTTAATCCTCGATTAATATCATAATTTGCAGTTGGGAAAATTTTGAACCTGTGGGTGTACTACTTCCTCAGCCAGAATGGACTGCATGGGATCAAACAGTTGAGTATTGTGCTTTTGCCTATCAGCAGTATATTGTAATATCTTCTTTGCGCCCTCAATATCGGTACCTGGGAGATGTTGCAATTCCCTATGCTACTGGAGCAGTTTGGCATCGGAGACAGCTTTTTGTGGCTACACCAACTACCATTGAGTATGATCTTGATAATTTTTTAATGATTTAGTTCTGTTTAGTCGTATTTCTGGTTTTATTTAGTACATTTTTTTTTGCACCAAATTTTGTTTTATTTCTGACACTATTGGAATTTACACATGAATTAATAGTTCTTTGATGAAGTAATTTGAACCTCAAACCTTTGCTCATATTAGTTGGACTTTGTCTGGGGCTTGAAACAGGATATTTCTGTTTCATTGAGTGGAGCTTTTATAAATATGAAGAGGCTAATATAATGCACATGACGTTGTTAGGCAACTTCATGTTGCATTTCAGCAATGAAGCCGGACATGGCTGATTTCATGATTGTAGTTATATATGCATGAGAATTTCTGTTTTTAGAAAGTAGACAAGTGTTTGTTGGACAGATATTTAGTTGAAATGATTGAATATTTGAATTTGGTATGATGTTGGTTTCTCATATTTTTCACTTCAAGTGCAAATTCAAATACATTTATTCAAATTGGACCCTAAGGATTTCTTTGAAGTAAACCATTGTATAGATTGAGTTTCACATTTTTAATCAATTCTAAGAGAAGATTATGCTGATAGATTGGCTATTTATTTTTACTAATGCGGATTAAAAATGTAAGATTCTACTGCAACAATGCTTCAGATAGTCATTTAGATGGTGGAAGTAAAGCTGGAACATGATGGAGAAGAAAAAGAAATTTATAACAAATATTTAAGTTTCATAATTTTGTCAGATGTGTGTTTGTGGATGCTGGAGTTGCAGCAATTGACATAGAAACGAGAAAGATGAAAGAAGAGATGAAAATGAAAGAGGCACAGGCAAGAGCAGTTGCTGAACAGGGAGAGTTAGCCCTAATCACTGTAGAAAATCCCCAAACTGCTGCACAAGAAAGAATAAAATTAAGGCCACCTATGCTACAGGTTAGTATTTCATAGTTACTTTGTGGTTGTTGATACTGAGATGTTGTTTTGGGTTTATGGGAAGAGGAACAGGAAAACAGATATTTGAGCTCCCTATTTATTTGCACAATGAGGCAGGCCCTTGACTTCCAGGAATTGCACCTTTAATGATCTGTTTGACTCGCTACCTTCTTTGGTTCTGCATTTTACTTTTTATTTGCTAGAAGGATTTTTGTCCTAGATTAGGCTGGCTCAATATTCTTGTATGAAATACAATGATTTTTTCCAAAGCAGAACACCTAAGGCATGGTTAACAATTTATTATAACGTATTACAATCATAAGTTTTGAGCTTCTCTAAAATTTTCCGAACTAATGTTCTGTGACTAAATAAAATATTAATTGCATAATTCTAGCTTGTCCAATAAATACGTTTTGTACAAATTAAACTACAATGATACATAAATGAAATGAACATTTCCAAATACTTCCCTAATAATATTATTTCATTTATGCTCTGTTTGGAACAAGGGAGGAAAGACAATGTTGAGGTAAAATATGTGAGGTCAGTTATTTTACCCTGTTTGGAAAGTGATAGAAAAATTTGGGAGTGAAAGTTTGTACCAAAATCTCTCCTGGCCAACAAAAGTTCAATCTCTTCAAAATGGAGAGAAAATGACCAAGGAAGGCTGGAAAAATGCACTATTCACTGTAAATTTACAGAAACACCCACAAATTAGTTTAGTAACCCTTGTGATAAGGATTAAAGTTGACCGGGTAACTATTATAAAAAAAAAACATTTTAATAATTATTAAAACAACAACCAATGATATTTTTTCATCTTTTAAAATAATAAAATATTATTTAATTTTTTTATACTACTATATTATTTAATAATTAGTAAGGATAAAACTGTAAATTAGCCATAATGTTATTTTCTTTCCTCCATTCTATTTTCCTTCAAATCCAAACATAGGGTGGAAAATAAGGGAAGAAATTAAATAGTACAATCCTTCATTATTTTCCTCTCTTATTTTACTTCCTCCCTTATTTTCTTTTCTCTCCTTCTCAAACATAGTGTTCATCTAAAGTGAAATAGACTGAACCATTCTAACCATACCAAATTGTCTAATTTAGTTTAGTCTGGTTCGACTTTATGATTTGAACTAAAATAAATACTCAGAAGAGTAGTGAATTTAAAAAATTTCACCTTTTTTTTTATTTTTTTTAAAGTTTCCAATAACTGCTCTTTTGGTAAAGATGAAAACCAAATTAGAAAATGTTCAAAAATCTGTCAATTTTGTCCTAGTATTAACACCTAACAAAATTGACCAAATTGTTGGGATGATAATTTAATTGAGTTTATTTGAATTTTGCATGTATAGTTTAGCAAACAATCTACTGTAATTTCCTTTATTTATTTAATTTTATAATTCTTTTGGATTGAACAGTTCAGAATTTGTTCATCTTTGAACTATAATGATTATGTGATTGGAAGCATTATCGCCTTAGACCTTTCAATGAACCAATTTACTTTCTTTTCAGGTGGTTCGTTTAGCTTCTTTTCAGAATGTTCCCTCCATACCACCTTTCTTAACATTGCCAAAGCAGACAAGAGTTGATGACAGTGATTGGGCAACACCAAAGGAGATAGAAGAGAAGCGGGTTAATGAGATAGCAGTTGGTGGGGGAGGAGTGTCTGTGGCAGTTACTCGTTTCCCAACAGAGCAGAAAAGACCCGTTGGACCTCTAGTAGTGGTGGGTGTAAGAGATGGAGTTCTTTGGCTGATTGATAGGTATCATCTTTGCCTCCAGTATTCAATGTCCACTGTCTACTTAAATAGACCATTTTATATTTCCTATTAACATAGGAGCCATTAAATGTTATTTTCACTTAAATTTTTTTATTTCACCTTATCTTTCAAGCTTCTCTTATGCTGTAGCATGGAGTCCCTATCTAATCGGATGCTTATTTTTTAATTTTCAGCTGCCCTTAAACTACAATCCTCTCATGTTAATAATAACTTCTGCCAGTATGGGAGCATGCAGGCACAGATTATTCCTAACAAATTCACTCCTAAACCTCCTTTTTTCACATTAAGTTCCTTCCAAAAGCATATTTCAGTTGCTTCGTTAGAGACTTCACATGTGGACCTTACTTATACATAACAATCTCATTAATTCCTGAGAAAAAGAAAATCTTAATGCGAATGAAACTTGTGTTCCTCTGATGAGAACATTTCTTTCTTTTCTCATTTTCCTGCAAAGGTTATTCATTTCAGTTCCGTCATCGTGCCTGAATTTTAATTCTTTTCCCTCTCTCATAGTTTGCACCTCCATTTCTGTCAAGTTTGTTGTTGTAGTAGTATTTATAAGATAAAGTAATATTCATATTTACCAATTGGCAGTATAATCAGAGGAAATAGTGTAAAGTAATATTATTTTATTGGGCTGGTTTCTAGATTTGTTCTTTCTAGTTAAGATACGGGAGTGTTGTTACCAGGATCAACAAGGCAAGTAACAACTTAATCAGTTTTATTTTGATGAGATTTTATTTCTATGTAAGGCTAAGTACTATTAAGGCTCTAGAAAAGGGCATACTGTAGCTTTTTCTTTATGTTCTGGAAACTGAGAGTTCCTTTCCTTGTTTTCCTTTTAATTTTTCAATTCAAACTTGTCATTCCTTAATATATGATGCGAGGAAAAGAGAGATGATACTTAGATTCTCTTTGGTAGGTATATGTGTGCACATGCCATATCCCTAAGTCACCCTGGGATTCGCTGTCGGTGTCTTGCTGCTTATGGAGATGCTATTACTGCAGTGAAATGGTACTTCTCAATCCTTTTCTCCTAAAGATTAATTCCATGGAAAATGGTATAACTTTTCCTTATATAACTGCAACTTTCTGTAATTTATTCTATCATATTCAGGTCAAGTAGGCTTGGTAGAGAACATCATGATGATTTGGCGCAATTTATGCTGGGGATGGGCTATGCTATGGAAGCACTTCATTTACCAGGGATATCTAAGAGGTATTTGTAGAAGTATGTGGGGTTAATCCCACATTGAAAATATGTAAGATGAGTAAATGGCACATAATGAGAAAGGTGAACCAACTAAAATGACTTAGGCAATTTTGTATTAATGATACGCTTAACTTATTATAGAGGTATTTGTAGAAGTATGTGGGGTTAATCCCACATTGAAAATATGTAAGATGAGTAAATGGCACATAATGAGAAAGGTGAACCAACTAAAATGACTTAGGCAATTTTGTATTAATGATACGCTTAACTTATTATAAATCCAAATTATTAAATGAAATTATTAATTGAATTTGATTAATTGCTTCTAGTGCTCAGATTTAACATGATATCAGAGCCTGAGATTGAACCCAAATTGCATGAGGGAAGCTCTCCAGTGGGTCATATCATGATGGATCCGTGTTGGGCCGTTGTGTGCTTGTCAGGTGGTCCAATTGCCACTTGAGGGGAATGTAAAAAGTATGTGGTTAATCCCACATTGAAAATAATATAAGAAGAGTAAAATGGCATATTATTAGAAAGGTGAACGAACCAAACCAAACAAAATGTCTTAGATCATTTTTGTGTTAAAGGTAAATCCAACTCGTTATAAGTCTAAATTATTATATGAATTGTTAATAAATTTAATACTCCTAAGGCTCATATTTAACCTGGTATCAAAGCCTTGGATCCAAACCCATTGCATGAGTGAAGTTCCCAAGTGGGTTGTACCTTGGTGGACTCTTGCCCATCGTGTGCTTATCAAGTGGCCGAATTGCCACTTGAGAGGGAAGTATAGAAGTATGTGGGGTTAATTTCACATTGAAAATATATAAGACAAGTAAATGGTATATAATGAGGAAGGTGAATCAACTAAAATGGTTTAAGTCATTTTGTATTAAAGGTAAGTCTAACACATTATAAGCCTAAGTTATTAAATGAAATTGATTAATTGCTCATAGGGCCCAGATTTAACATAATTTTGTTATTTCACTGATTTAGATTTTGTCACAATGCCTTTATTTCTTCTTCATAAATTAAATAATCTGTGCTATTCTGTCCTGAACACTTTTTTTTTTTTTTTCATGGACAAATGTTTGCATGTATTTTATGCAATGTATGAACATGTATGCTTGTAGCATACACAATTTCTTTGTTGCCTTACACACAAGGCATCTTTCTATGTGTCTGATGCTTATAATCTCATTATCACAAATGGGATCTTGCTCCTTATGGTGATTAATAAAGCTTTAGTAATCCAAGCTTGATGTCCAGAATTTCAAGTGCATCAAGAGCATTTTAATGTTGAATTCTAATGTGTCTCTTGTCTATAAATTTTTTTTAGGTTGGAGTTTGATCTAGCCATGCAGAGCAATGATTTGAAAAGAGCACTTCAGTGCCTTCTTACGATGAGCAATAGCAGGGACATAGGGCAAGATGGTACGGGACTTGGTTTGAGTGACATTCTCAACATAACATCAAAGAAGGAAAATATTGTTGAAGCAGTTGAAGGAATAGTAAAGTTTGCAAAGGAGTTTTTGGACCTTATTGATGCTGCAGATGCTACTGCACAGGTTGACATTGCTCGCGAAGCTCTCAAGAGATTAGCTGTTGCAGGTTCCATGAGAGGAGCTTTAGAGGATCACGAATTAAGAGGACTTGCTTTACGCCTTGCAAATCATGGGGAGTTGACAAGGCTGAGTGTATGTTACCACAGTGAACCATACTTATTGCATATTGGCCTTATGAACTGTTCGTACATGCTAGGAACTTAAAGCAACTTCTGTGTTTGTTTAGTTTTTGTGCATCCATTTCAAAATTTTCATGATATATTTATTTGTTAATATATAGATGGCAAAAAAAATTTTAGTCACTCTGCATCAGTTACATAATAATTCTTGAGTTGTTTGACACCTTAGGAAAATTTTGAGACTAATTTAGCCATTTTACTATGCATAGTTTACTCTGACTCCGCACTTTATCCTAAAAGGCCAGTGTCAAAACTGATGTTTTTAGTCTTTTTTGTTCAATTTCCACAACAACTTTTATGTTCTATCCCACTTTATATTCGTTTTCAACTTTCAATTCACATATCTTCAAAGATACAGTCACATTTTTTATAGCATCTAATAAAGCTGAATTAGTAATAGAAAGGAGTGATTTATCATAGCTGTGACAACAAAGCACTATGGATCTGGAGGATCGGGAACTCAGGAGAGGATAAATGAAAAGTACATTGTTGTGTGAGGAGAAATGTACAGCATCATTGCCATAGTCAATGATGTCTCGAACATTTATATATCAAGTGTTTGGGCTTGTAGAAAGTGAATTTGTGCTTGTGGAAGTTACTGGATACTCAAAAATGAAATAGAAGACCGGCAATTTTGTAGACAGTGCAAAGTTGAAATTTGTTGATTTTGAGATATGAATGTCAAATGGTCTTTCATCCACCTGGCATGCCTAATGCTGATTTCAATATAAGTGTTCCTTGTAATGTTTTTATTTTCACTTGCCTACTTTTTGAAGCAATATTTGTATGGTTGCAGGGTTTAGTAAATAATTTGATTTCAATTGGCTTGGGACGTGAAGCAGCATTTTCAGCTGCTGTTCTGGGAGACAATGCTCTCATGGAAAAGGCTTGGCAGGATACTGGGATGCTCGCTGAGGCTGTACTTCATGCCCATGTATGCATTTTTTATATAGACAGGTTCTTAAAAACCCTTGAACTACTATTTTCTACTCTAACTGGCCCATCACATATCTTTCCAGGCTCATGGGCGGCCAACACTTAAGACCTTGGTTCAGACTTGGAACAAAATGCTACAGAAAGAGGTTGAACATGGTCCGTCAACCAAGATGGACGCTGCAGCTGCATTTCTGGCTTCTCTCGAGGAACCCAAGCTTACCAGTTTGGCAGATGCAGGGAAAAAACCACCAATTGAAATTCTTCCTCCAGGAATGCCATCACTTTCTGCTTTTATTACTGGCCAGAAAAGACCTGGTCCCGGTACACTGGGTTCACAGCAGCAACCTAGTAAACCATTACAAATAGAAGCAGCCCCAGTTGCTACAACCGAACCAGTATCTACATCTATTCCTAACACTACTGCTGCAACAACACCAGAAAATGCACCTCCTAGTTCTACCCCAGAAGTAGAAAGTGCTAAACTGCAAACTCAAGCAGGTGAACCTCCTGTTTCTGTTGGTGATAATGCTCCTGTCCCATCTTCAGGAAGCAACCCAGATCTTGTTGCATCAGGAGAAAGTATCCCACCAGTGTCCACGAGCGATACAACATCAACCCCAACTGAAGTACCACCAGCACAAATACCTGATACTGAGGGAGCAACCGTTTCAAGATCTATGCCCTTAAGTGATACTCTTGCTTGAATATCTAGTTTGTGGCCTACTGGAAAAACAGGACATATTGGGAATTCTTAATTGATTCTTTGATTTGCGGAGAATTACATGAAAGGAATGTGGAGTAGATATTAGTTTCACATCAAATTGACTCTTATATTTTATTCATTTTTTTACTTTGGGAGGCAGAATTTAGCTATGTTCTGTATTCTGATTTGTATTATTTGTTTGCACCGTATAGTTTTTTACAATGCAGTTTATAATTTTAGATGACTGGGTTGAGTTGCAGAGTTGTGGATTATTTCTAATGGAGATCTTTTACTGATATTTGATGGCTTATTTTCACCCATGGTTTTTGAATTATAGCTCATATTACATTATCGTACTTAAAATTTAATTTATAACATAAAAATCCTGAATTACTATTTGTGCAACATTAGAATGACGAATTTATGAAATTTTGGCTATTGAGATGCTAGGTGAACGACACGTGTCTTTATTTATATTAAAAAATTTCACACCTCAACGTCTGTAATTCTCTCCAATCAGCTGTGCAAAAACCAGTACCACAACTCTCTCTCTCTCTCTCTTTCTCTTAAAAATCCTCCACTACAAAAGAATTCAAAAGAAACAGTAAACTGGTCCTCAGCGCCATAACCAGACTAGCTCAACCTCCAATTCCAACTCTGCTATTATGCTCTACCACGTTAATACCGGAATTCATATACCCCTTATTCACGTCATCTATGCGTCATTGTTGTCGTCCTCAATTTATATCAGCGCTCGAACTCGTTCTTCATCAGAAAGAGAAAGAGGAGAAATAAGAGAGAGATTCACCCTAAAATAGCTAAGCTTTGCAGGTTGTGCACTCGTGTTTCCTTGAAGAGTCTCAATCTCAATTAGGATATATATATATTGATTTCTTTCTCCTTTTATTTTTTGTGTTGTTTAATATTTCCGAGGAAAAGAAAATTGATCTGTTTGGCTTTCTGGAAACTACAACATAGTTTTCTTTTTTGTTTTTTTGTTTTTCCCTTTTTGGCATCAGTTTGACTCTTAAGTTTTAATCAGACATAAATTTCTTTTAATTTATACATGTTTTTTCCTTTTTCTCATTTTTCCATTGGAACAATTTTCCAATGCTGTGGGCTTTTATTTTGGTGTTCTTATGTTTGGATTATGTACCAATATATATGGAAATAAAAAAAAATAAGTATTATTTTAAATGTTTTTCGAGAGATTTTAATGAGGTGGTTTTATAGAGAGAGAGAGAGAGAGAGAGAGAGGTGGTAATGGTTTTCATTTTAGTCGAAATGGTTTTAGATTTTTAAAAGAGAGGGAGGTGGTAGCAGTGGTGGTTTTCGCATTGTTGGCACGAGAGAGAAATGAGGATGTTGATGTGTAAAATTTTTTTAACATAGATAAAATAACGTGTCATCCATGTGACATTTCGGTCCCCGGAATTCAATTAATTGGACCAAAGGGATTTTAATGTTACACAAACAGTAATTCCGGAATTTTTACGTTACAAATTGAATTTTAGATACAACAATATAACATGTGTTATAGTTCAGTCATGATAGGTGAAAATATGTATGTACTATACATATTGCTAATTAATTATGTCTATGGATATGGATACCTAATCTCCGATAGGACATGTGTAAAACTTATGAATTATATATATGTATGTGTATATTCGTCTGTATTTGTTATGAACTAATAAGCTAATTAATTAATGTTTGATATGGATTATGAATATGATTAGGCCCATAATTGTACTATGCATGTTCATAATTAATTATATGAATTGGCCTTTAGTGATGAGGTAAGAAAAATAAAGTATGGGCTTATTGAAGGGTTGTGGGAATTGGGTTTTAAAAATGGGAGATGATGATAATAGGCTCATTTTCACCCATTATCTTGAATTGTAGTTATTATTATATTATCGTCTCTCAATTTCAATTTGTCATTAAAATCTCTTAATTCCAGTTTGTGTAACAGAAAAATACCTTTGCCCGTTTTTCCTACATTTCGTTCGTTGGAATACGAAGTGGCAGCACATGTGTATTTTTTTTTTTTTTTTTTTTTTTTTTTAATTGTAGTTATTAATATTACGTTCTCTCCAATTCTAATTTGTCATTTAAAAAATCTCTAATTCCAGTTTGTGTAACAGAAAAATAGCCTTGCCCGTTTTTTCCTACATTTCGTTCCGGTTGGATACGAATGGCACACATGTGTATTTTTTTTTTTTTTTTTTTTTTTTTTTTTTAATTTTCTTTACACAGCTAAGCATTTCTCCTCCACCTTCTTTATTTCCATTTTAACTTTATTTTTCTCTTTCCTCTCTCCTTAGTCACCATCGCCTCTCATCTCTTTTGACCATTCTAGAATCCTTAAATCAAATATAATCAAAAAGCAAATTCTATACATGACCATTATGCCTCCGACTTTAACAATTTTCCAATCTCTCATTTCTCATTATTCATCTTTGTTTGTTTCTTTTTAAAAATCAAATAAGATCTTGACAAACAAAAAAGATAAGCCTTGTTGCTAAACGATGTCCGTCTATTAACTTCCTTTCAGGAATCCAACAATTGAAAATCATTTAAAATGGTGGTGCTGCTTTACTTATAAAACATATGAAAATGACTAAACGAGTTGAACTTTTGATTTGCCAAAAAGTGTAGAGAAGAATTGAAGATTCGGGTAGCCATTAGCAGTGACTCAATCTTCACAAGCTCTCAAGTGAAAAAATATATATATTTTTTCTATATAACACTACACCACTCACTAACTAATTTGACAACAACCAAATGATATCTTCGTAAGCTCTCCAATGGAAAAAGCTTTAAACTTTCCTTAAATCAAAATTTTCATCACTTTTTTTGTCGAGATAGGGAGGTGCATTAATGCACCCTTGGCAGAGAGATTAGAGTTTTAATCAAGCGTTTGTGATGTTTCTAGTAGCATGAATGAACTCCTATGAAGGTATTGTCATTTTAGTTTCAAAACTAAGGAGAAAGACCTTGGTGATTAAGGGGAGAGAGGGTGGAGAAAAAAATAAATTTAATGTGGAAAGAGAGAAAAGTGAAGAAATAATGCTTAGTTGTAAAGGAAATTATTAAAAAAAATACATGTATTGCCACATAGCATTCCGATGAACGAAACATAAAAAAACGACAAAGACATTTTTCTGTTATAGGAATTGGAGTTAAGGGATTTTAGTATTACAAATTAAATTCCAGTGACAACAATGTGATAGTGGCTACAGCTTAGGGAAGACGGTGAAAATAGCCCTATTATAAACTTACTCAATGATGATAAAATTTTGTAATGTGCTTAATATTCATGATGAACTTGTTAGCTTAGTGATACGACTCTTATTTTTTGGGTCCCTAGATTGTCGTGACTCGTTTCTAGGGGTCGGACAGGCAGTAGGGCCTGGGTAGACTTAAGGTGTCACGGCCGATTTGATCAAGCCAATTTCATCCCATATTGGATTGGCAAGACCCGCACGGTTTTGGTCCATAAGTAAAATGAAAAACTTCCAAAGTGGTCACATATCCTAGGATTTATATTAAGCAAGCACACTTAACCCTAGAGTTCTTCCAACTCTCTAAGCCAGTGTCACGACCCGTTTCCATGGGCCAGACCGGCACTAGGGCCCAGGTAAGCTTAAGGCCCCCGAGGCCCGTAGTAAGCCTAAATTATCCAATATCGTCTACCTAATCGTTTTCCAATTTCATCAAAACAGTAAGAGCCCATAGTAACAAACATCTGCACAAAACCCAATAACACATAAGAATTAACCAGGCCTATTCACCAATTAAAGTTCTAATAACGTGTATTGGGCTTAACGTTCAACCTGCCGTAATTACCTAAATTTAATTTTATAGTGTCAGTGCGATACTAATAATCCAAATATTAAATACTATAACTGCGGAGTCCAAAAATAATCTGATAACAGAATAATTTATACATCCAAAATTAAATAACATGAATATAAAGTTTACATTTGTAACTCTGCAGAGAAGATTGCAGAGCTTCAGCCGAATCAGCTGCTTCCTAGTACCTGGAAGGTTTGTTGGGGAGGGGTGAGTTTTGCAACTCAGTGAATAATAATAAATAATACACACCACATACAGTCAAGCAAAATGCACCATAATATACTGAATGAACACACAACAGTCAATCATATGACATTACATCAGCACCCACAAACAATATCACCTTCAAATAATCACATCACGTGGAAATTAGTCATCAAACAGTGGAAATTAGTCCAGTGGCGTCAACCTAAACCCCCGACGAGCCGTCTCTCAAAGCAGCCCAATCCTCTCAAACATGTGCACCCGGGGAGCCAATCCCCCCATATCTGGCCCGACCGTCTAATCCTCACTTTGACCAAGTCCTCTCAATATTTTATTTTACATGTCTCTCTTTTCTTTTCCATATCATCCAAACATGCATTTCTCAATCCATCAGGTGCACACCGGGGGCGCCGATCTCCCCATTTACCCCGGCCGACGGCTCCAATTTTCATCAATCATATGCAGAATCCTTATTTATCGACCGGTCCCTCTACAAACCCAGGGTTGACCCAACTTCATCCCACTCCACACAAACAGAGCACAGTATATACACAACAACAAATAATCAAACAATTCATTTTATCATAAATACAGCCAAAATTTCATCAAAATGCACAATTATGCATAAGTATAATTATATGATCATTAACATAATATAATTTGAGAAAATACAATATTGTAAATATATACAAATGTAATTGTTAAGCAAAATGCAGTGTTGACATGCATTATTTATTATACTCACTGTGATGGAGAGCGAAGTTCTAGCTTTGATTCTGTCCTGGAGGAGCACTAAGAATGGACCCGGGCGATCTACGCAAAGTTAGAAACGACCACAAAAAGAAAATAATTCTATCCAGAACAATATTTCTTTACCACTCTAAGAATTTTAATTTTAATATTTCTTACATTTTTTTTCTACGTAAATAAATCTCGTATTTAATTTCTTTCTTACTAAAATTTTTTATTTTCTATCTAACTCTATTTAATTTTGTTTTCGTACTGAAAATATATTTTATTTCCTATTTTAAGTTTTCTAACTTCCTTCTACCGAAATTTATTTTATTTTTTTATACCGAATTTGTTTTTATTTTTCTACCGAAACTTATTTTATTTCTACCGAAATTTCGGCAGCATCTCCCCCTAAAAGTTGGACTATCCACCTGTTAAAATATACACAATTTATCTAAAAATTTCAAACCACACAGCCCATCCATCGGGCAATCAATCAATCAAATTTTTCCATCCTCCATCAATAACGTTATATCGAAACTTCATTAAATCAACAATAAAATTATAAATCTTGTAACTACTCACAATTACTAAATTAAATTAACTAAATTAATTCACTACAACCAATAAATTTAATTTAATTAACTACTATTACTAACATTAACTTAACTAAATTAATTGACTACTAATAATAAAAATTAGCTAATATTACTAACATTAATTTAACTAAATTAATTAACTACCAATAATAAAATTAATTTAATTAAATAATATTATTAAAATGAAATTATACCCAATATATTGTTGCCGGACTTTTTGGTTAACCGGAAATGGAGGTTGGTGGCCGGAGAGGAGGGTGGCGATGGCGGATCGACTGCGACAGCAAGGTGCGGCGGTGGCGCACGGTGGCTGGGTGGCGCGATCACCTGCTGTCTCGCCAGAAATGAAGACGCAGGCGCAGTGAAGGGAAAAAGGAAAGAAAGAAAGAAAAGAAAGAAAAGAAAAGAAGAAAGAAAAGAAAGAAGAAGAAGAAGAAGAAAGAAAAAGGAAAATAGAAGAGAGGGAGGAGGAGGCGCTGCTGTGATGGTGAGGAATAGAGAGGCGCAGCGCTGGAGATAAAAAAAAAAAAAAACAAAAAAGAAAGGGGAATTTTCTAGGATGTTTTGGGTCGAACCGGTTCCGATTCGATTCGATTCGGCCCAAATCATCAATTTCCAACAACAAAACTGTTTTCGAACTTTTTTCAAAAATCGGTTTTTGGTTCGGCTTTCTCATAGTAGGTTGCACTAAAATATTAATATTAATTTCCAAAGGCTGATCCGGTTAATTAAATTTAATTTGATAATTTTTGAAAATAAAACCTCGGGTTGTTTTTCTAGTAGTTGCACTAAAATATTAATATTAATTTCCAGGCTGTCGGTTAATTAAATTTAATTGGATAATTTTTGAAAATAAAAACTCGGGTTGTTTCAGCCAGTCCACCAAAAGGCGCCTCTTGATGATTAATTTTTCTCTTTTCGATATATGATTCGATTCATTCTTATGTCCCCCATTCCACTGCCCATAGCTAACCTATCATCCTAGAAGCTAGCCAGGGGCTTTGCTCTACTCGCCCCCTTAGGATTGCTTTGCCGATTCGGATGTCACATAAGGCCTCCTAGGCCCGTAGTAAGCCTAAATCCGTTAAGTCAATACACTGTTCATATCACGATCTCTATCTCAATAACCAATCCACATAAATAAGGCAGTAGGCCCATCCAATCGTTTCACAGTTAAATTCAAATATCCAATAGATGCATTCTCATAATCGACTGATACATCATAATTGCATATTATGAGGTTGAATACATGTAACTATCTTAGTTAATTACAGCCCATTCAGAATACAATTGTGGAACCTCTATGTACATTTAAAATCACCAAGCGTATACATTCCTAATGTTCTTCTTTAAAAAAAAAATCAATATTAACAATAATACAAAATATTTAAGTTATCAATAAAATATTTTCATGAAACCCAAAAAATGAGAGCACTCATTATTTTCTCTAAAATCTTCGGGATTTGACACAAACATATTGTCTATCATCACAAGGACTATTGTTAGATAATTTAGTTTAAACTCTACTATTTTCAAGTCACCATGTCAATAGTTTTCCTTTAGACAAGGTGTATCCTATCTTCATATTCAAGGTTTCATTTATCACAATCGAATTATTAGAATAAACGTATCTCACCTCTGACTCAATTTCCTCTTGGAATGAGCCATTTCTTTTAGCATAGAGGAGAAATATGTTTTCTCTCTAATTATATATCTTATGCTTGATCAATACACTATTTCTGATTCCGTCAGATTGGTCATTTAGAAGTTTCTACAATTAGTATTTTATTTCACTCCATAACTGGTATTCTTTAGAACAGAATCCATTTAAATCCTAAGGTACCTTTTACAACCTATCACTTCAGGCTATTGTCGTATGGCATCATTACTTCAATTTAACACATTATTTTCTACTTTTCTTTATTCTTGATTGTTACTTTGATATTTCTCCTCTTTATTTCCTTGTTTAACAAAATAATCATTTGCCCATCTTATTTAGCTTATCCCAGTTTTTCCTTTTATCTTTTCATCAAACTCCTTCCTAGTAATATTTATCTCATTAAGAACATATTTATCTATTTCTAAGCCTAAGCCCTATCTTCCTATTCCAATCCTTCTCTGTGTCGCGATGTGATTCCATTGAGCAATCATTTTCTTCTATATTGCTAATTTCCTTAACTAGTTTGGTTCATTGTTGATCCTTCCTTCTACTTCAGTTATTTATTTCAACTCTTCACTTTATATTCTCCATTTTACATTATAATGTTTCTATGCTTGCCCCCCCCCCCATAACTTCCTTCAGCTTATCCATTTGGAACCAATGTTCCATCTTATATTATTTGTTGTTGATATTTTATCTTTATTACTACACCATTGCTCTAACTTTCACCCCTTAGTTTAGTTCGCGGGATAGACAATATGACATTAAAAGAAAGTCAATCATGTAGTCATTTCAACTAAGATAACTTTAATTCAAACCGTTGTGACATGCCATCCATACAAAACCTTTAATAAATAGTGAATTCTCAATAATTAAATATAAATGAGCTTTCCAAAATCACAGTTCAAAGAAACTCATCCCTTAACTTCAATGTTTGTCATTAAAACTTATGTATGCCATCCATACAGATTAATTGTCCGCTTTGGATCAAGCCAATTTCATCCCATATTAGATTGGCAAGATTCGCACGATTTTGTCCCGCAGATGAAATGAAAAACTTCCCAAGAGGTCACCCATCCTAGGATTTCCGTTAAGCGAGCATGCTTAACCCTAGAGTTCTTCCAACTCTCCAAGCCATTCCACCAAAATTCCAAGTGCCATTCATCCAAATAGGCGGCATTTGATTGAATTAGATTTCTCTCTTTTTTAATACAAGAGGTCACCCATCCTAGGATTTCCGTTAAGCGAGCATGCTTAACCCTAGAGTTCTTCCAACTCTCCAAGCCATTCCACCAAAAGGCGCATTTGATGATTAGTTTCTCTCTTTTTAATATATGATCTAATTCATTCCCATATCTCGCATTTCTCTACCCGTAGCTAGTCTACCATCCTAGAAGCTAGCCAGGAGCTTTGTTCTACCTGTGCTTTTAGGATCGCTTTGCCGGATCAGGATGTCACATTTTCATAAACTGTCAGTTACCCTAGGCATGCATGTAGTTCATCATCTATTGTTATTCTTATAGCACATTGATCTAGTTCTCATCCTAAAATTTTATAGATTCCTTTCCATTTTAGCACATGGTACGTCCACCTGCACTGTAATAGAGTTCAATCTAGGATTTGCCTCCTTTGTTGGTTACGGTCGATCCCAATATAGGAGTCTCAAATGGGGTTCCTAAGTTCCGCAATCGATTCCTAAGGTCCAACTTTTATTCTAATATCATCTTTACATAATGGGATCCTCTAATTGGTCTTTTAAGGTAGAATGTACATTATTGGTCAGAAATCTTCCCTCCTTATAAAAGTTCTTTGATATCTCACCAAGTCTCCAACATTGGTTACTCTCATTTACACAATTTCAAGGCATTCCATGGTAATTTATCCTTTACTTAACATTCAAGTTATACAGGGAAACTGGTGCGTTTTCACCTTAAGCTTATTCTTATGATGTAGAAAATCTTAAAGAGACTGACGATACTTTTGAAGTTATTCCTCCAAGATTTTGATCACTTTAGTTTATTCATCAAAGGGACTTGAAAATTGACTTTCTTACAATCAACACATGAACAAATTCACATATCAAACAAACCTCTAGACTTATATCTTTACAATTATTACTTATCATTATGAAACTCACTATCTGGAATAGTTTTTATAGTTCATAATAGTCCATACGTGCTTTAGATTCATTTGTTAGCAAAACTAAGATTAAATTGATGTGGAGCCTTAACTAGAGGATAGACTTATTAGATGACCTCATTGTCCAAGTCCACATCTCCATGCCTCAGTGTCAGGTTATGCCATAATGGATATAATATCTCTACTAAATCGAGTGTTGGAGGGATAGGAAGGGTGACAAAGGCAGAAGAGAAAGTAGCTCTTACTAGAAAATTATGTGTTAAAACTAAAGTAATGTTTCCATAGGACAATAGCCTCAAGTGATAGGTTGTAAAGGTTACCTTAGGATTCAAATGGATTCGGTTCTAAGGAATACCGATTATGAAGTAAAATAAAATACTAATTGGGAAAACTTCTAAATGACCAGTCTGAAGGAATCAAAAAATAGAGTACTAATCAAGCATAAGATATGTAATGAGAGAGAAAACTCATTTCTCCCCTATTCTGAAAGAAATGACTCATTGCAAGGGAGGAAATTGAGTTAGAGGTGAGAAACATTTATTCTAATGATTCAATGGTGATAAATGAAACCTTGAATGTGAAGTTAGGATACTCTTAGTTTAAAGGGAAAGTATTGATACAATGACTTGTAAATAGTAGAGTTTAAACCAAATTATCTAAGAATAGTTTTTGTGATGATAGACAATATGTTTTTGTTAGATCCTAAAGATATTAGAGAAAACAATGAGTGCTCTTATTTTCGGGTTTCATGAAAATATTTTATTGATAACTTAAATGTTTTGCACTATTGTTAATATTGATTTTTTTTTAAAAGAAGAACTTTAAGGATGCATACGCTTGCTGATTTAAAATATATGTAGAGGTTTCACAATTATATTCCAAATGAGCTATAATTAACTAAGATAGTTAGTTACATGTATTCTATCTCATAATATGCAATTATGATGTATCAGTCGATTATGAGAATGTATTTGTTGGATATTTGAATTTGACTGTGAAATGATTGGATGAGCCTACAGCCTTATTTATGTGGGTTGGTTATTCGGCTAGAGAACTTGATGTGGACGGTGTATTGACTTAACAGATTTAGGCGTACTATGGACTTAAGAGGCCTTAAGCCCACTCAAGTTTTAGTGTCAATTCGGCCCTTGGAAAAGGATCGTGACATAGATGTGAGATCAATTCGTGCCGGCTACAGTTTTTTGTATTTTAGTTTAATTTTTAACATAGTTTTAGCTAGTTATTTTAATTAGTTCTTATATATAAAAACAATAGACTTGAGATCAATCCGCAGAAGTTGCAGTTTTTTGTATTTTAGGTTAGTTTCTTACATAGTTTTATCTAGTTATTTTAATGAGTTCTTATATATAAAAACAATTTTAGTTAGTTTTTATATAGATTTGGTTAGTTTAAATACATATAAATAACCACACAAGGTACCACAATTTTTGTAAAATATTTTTTGTTGCTATTGAATGACTTGTATCATTAGTTCTAATTGTAGATTATTTAATTTTACATTCTTTTTTAAATTTTAGTTTTAAATTTGATTACATTCTATGAATATATAGAAGTCATGTAAACATTAAAATATATAATAATATTTCAAATGTTTATTTTTGGTTATTTAATTAAAACTTAATATCC